CTCAGGCGATTCTGCAGGGCGCCGTGGGCGTCCGCTTTGCGGCGGCCCGCCTCGTCCGGGTGGTACTTGGAGCGGAACCTGCATGGACACCCAGATGGCAGGACCCCAGAAAGAGGAGGGGGGTGGGGGGTGGCGGTGAAAGAAGAGGCAGTCAGGGGAGCTTCACGAAGCAACTGGAAGACCAGGTCTCAAACACACAACCCCCCGTTAAATTAAAAGAGTAGGACCGGACCCCAAACGGGCAGCACTCAGACACGGTCGCTAATTAAGGCTGAGCCGTCGGCCACGTGCTGGTGCCCACTAGCTGAGATTCTTTATTAATGGATCCATGTACACCACCCCCCTGCCCCCCCCCCCAGCATTAATCTGCTTGTACAGTCATGAACATCCCATGTTTCCCTTCTTCTGCTCTCCTTTCCCCTGCATATTGTTTAAATATAACCACGTTTTTTTAAACACGTGCTGGCAGAAAAGGGGATTTAGACGGCTCCCTCTGCTGGCATCCCTCCAGGAACAGGCACCCTGCTACCAACCCCCCCCCCCCCACCCAGTGGGACTCCCCACGAAGAGTGCGGCTTCATGACTGTACAGGCACATTGACAGCGGCTCTGCACTTGGCCGGCCCTCCGGCAGGGAGAGACCTCTACCTTTCATGCTGCAGAAGCAGGCACAGAACCTGCAACACGACCATCACCATTAACACACTAATTAGCACTGAATCACTCACCAGCTGCAGAGGCAGCAGTAACTTCACAGAAACCAACTGTAACACAGTTCACAGATGTATTAACAAAACTAAAACACACGTACGGGTCTGTGTCGTGGACTAAATTTACCTTTTTTTCCAATGTTTAACAACACAAATATACTCAGAGGGTCTCTTCTGGCACAAAAGGTCACTCCACTGCAGCCCTGATTGTTTGTGCTCTTAAATGCTTTTAGGGACGTTTTGCTTTTGCATTTGACTCGGTCCAAAAAAAAAAGAAAACTAAAAATGTTTTTGTTTGTAAAAGAAAAGGGAGGGAAAAAAAGCAGCGTACTAAGGCAGCTGTTTGTCTGTTTGTCTGCCCCACATGCACCACAGGGGGCGCCATTGAGCCTGTCTGCCTAGGAGCCCTGGACTGTGCGTCTAAAGTCACTGCATTGTGCGCAGTGTGGACCCTGACTGTCTAACAGACTCCTGCGACGGTCGTCCTTGTGCGGGTCCATGTCTTCCCGTACCTTGTAGAGGAGGAGGGGAGGAATAGAGGGAGCGACTGCTCTGTTAATTGTAAAAGAAAAAAAAAATTGTAAAAACAAAAAGGCAAATAAAACACTGATCCGGGTGACCTGTGGGGAACAGCGCATGAGAAATAACACGGACAGTGAATGGGTGAGAACAGAGTGCAGGCCTGCCGCGCGCACACACACACATGCACACACGTACACACACACACACAGGCTCATTACGAACATAGCCTGCCAACCTAATAAGTCTGGTCCTCTGTGTTCCTCAGAAAATCCTACGAGGCTACTTCAGGAAGTGCATCTAGCTCAGACTACCTTAAATCCAACAAGTTATCCAGCTAAGCAAAGTTCGGCTTTGTGAAACCATATCTTTTTACCTTCACAACATTAGAGCCAAATAGCAGGAAGATCATTCACGCTCCATACAGGCAGACCAAAGCTAAACGCTTCCCAGGCTCATCTTCTCACACAGGACTAGTACATCCCAGTCGTTTAATCTTTACCCCAACTCTGAAGTTCAGTCAAACGCACGAGGTCACGGAACTTTGTCTCCTTAAGTCAATTTTAATAGGCTGAAGTAGCCAGACTTTCCCTAAAACATCACACTACAAGCAGAAACATCTCCGACAACTCAGGCATCTCAGTGACACCATCTTACTCTGCACGGAACCCCCCCCCACGACCCTGATGGTACAGCCCACCCCACCATGCACAGCTTGGGCCGGCCCGCTGGACCGTACCACTCCTCGTCTTTGTGGGCCAAGAAGAAATCCTGCATCTGCTGCCGCCTGAAGTCCATCTTGTACTCGTTGTATCGCTTGACGGCCTCCGTCTCGTCCACCGAGTCATCCAGGGACAGCAGGAACTCCTTGAAGGTCTTCATCACTGGTGGGGGAGGGGCCAGCTCCACGTCATGGATGTTTCCCAGCCTGAGAAGATTGTGTGAGGTGGGGGAGGGGGTGATACTCAAACATCTAAGCAAAAAAAATCGGTGATCAAGACCACTCTTACGGTTTGAATAAAGTCAACCGTGTCTATATGGCAACAACTGTCCCCCGCTCACCGGGCCTGGATGGGGATCCCATGGTGCTGCTGCATCATGTGCATGTCGGGGGGGCCCCAGGGCTGCGGGGGGGCATAGCTGGGCCCCCCGCTGCCACCTCCATACGGCAGGTCGTAGCCGCCGTGGTAGGGGTCACCACCATGGTCGTCCCTGCAGGGGGCAATAAGAAGCAGGGCTCAACATTACAGGGTAACGAGTGGGGAGAGGGTGTGGAATTGTGGGGGCGTTACTCACCAGTCCCTGCGCATGCGCTTCTGCTGCGGGCTCATGTCGTGCCGGGGCGGTGAGAAGCGCTCACGGCGCCCCCGCTCATAGTCCCGGTACTCTGCTCGGCTACGCCGCTCCCGGCCCCGGTCCCACTCCCTGGCAGAGGGCCGCCAGCACCCGGAAACACAGAACAGCCCCTTAAAACCTGATTCCCACTCTCGGTACCATGCTGATCCCCGTCTGCTCCAACCTGAAAGCTCCTGTACCCCTCAAACTCTCTCAACACCTCATAAACTAAGAAGCACAGCATGTCTCACACCCCTGTCTTACCCATCCAGCCCTCCACCGTCTCCTCTTATTCCCTCTCCCTTACCTGTCACTCCACTCGTCCCTCCGCCGATCCTCCCTCTCTCGTGATCGGTCATAATCGCTCCTCTCCCGGCGGAACTTGTCTCTCCTTCGCCGGTCATACTCATCGTCACTGTCTCCCATCACTTATCCTGCGAACAACGGAGACACAGAGGAAGCAGCAGCCGGTTTCCTCTACGAAACCTTCTAAGACCCGGTTAACCCGTTATTCCGGTCTTTCCAGCAGACCAAAACTTGGTCCATGCCCTTAACGGTTCATTATGAATAAAAGTATCGGTAGTAACGACACATTTGTAAATGGGAATCCGGTTTTATTCATTTCCTATCAGAAGAGACCGGGCAATGTTACCGTTATTTAAAATTACGAATATACATATATGTTCTTTTTTTCGAGAAACGTGCATTAGTGGGAGCCAGATAAACCCGGCGATGCTTCCCGATCAGCACATGGTGCCCGGCGGAGCCCCGTCCTCATGGCCAACGGCACTGGAGCTGCACATGGCGGCTGCCTCTGTGGGCAAGTCCCGGCGGCTGCGGCCTGCTCACCCGTATGTCCGTACAGCAGCTCTGCAGAGCGTTTGAGACCCGAAAGAGAAGCGGGATAGACGGTTTACCTGCAGAAACCCGTCCGGTTATCAGTCCGGCCTTAGCTCTTTATATTTTATATGAATTTATTTTCACCAGCAAGCCGCTCCCGCCGCTCTGCTGCAGCCGCGGCTCCACAACTCCCCGGATGTAGAGGGATGTCCTTTGTCAGGAGTCTTATTTACTGTGGTCTCTTTACTCGGGGGAGGGATCTCGTGCCGGATCGGGGTATTAAAAGCTGGCGGTGTCTGTATATGGACGTGTTTTTATTAGGGGTTTTATCAGGGTCTTTTCACTGGTGTCTTATGGCTCCTTGCCGAACCCGAGCTGTCGGTGTCTATAAAGGAACGCTCTTATTCACGGGTCTTATTTACACGAGTGTCTTTAACCGGGGGAGGACTCTTTGCGGGACACGGCGGTGTCTGTACAGGATTTAAATGTAACATATTATACCGTATGAATAATGCTTGAATGTGACGAAGCGCGGCTTTCCGAGAAATAGACGATATCCCGCAGTTCAGGGAATGCAGCTGTAATTAACCGGCCGTGTTCTACACAAAGAAAAACTAAACCCACACGGTATTAACGCCAAAAGCACCGCCCCCCCGGCATGGTGACATCGAGTGTAAACTGACACCCCCCATTTACTGAAGGTGACGACTGGGCTGCGCGGGTGGCATGAATGCCGACAGTGAGATGTACGCGTGCAGGCTCTGTGGCGCAATGGATAGCGCGTTGGACTTCTAGACTTTGACTGTGTGAGGTCATTCAAAGGTTGTGGGTTCGAGTCCCACCAGAGTCGTTGGGTTTTGGTGGGTTGTTCCCTGGGTGCGCATAATGCTTTCACCATTTGGACCTTGAGCAAAGCCCATAACCGTGCTCTATCAATTCTACGTTGTTTTAGATAAAAGCGTCTGGTAATAACTAAATTATAATTACCCTGAATCTAAACCCTAGTTTGATCATTTTAGAAAATAACAAAGTGCAATATCACAACCAAGATCAGAGTAGTGTGGTAAGCAATATATATATATATATATATATATATATATATATATATATATATATATATATATATATATATATATATATATGATGTAGATTTTTTTTTTTAAATCTGCTTAAATATTTTAAATGATTAACCAACTGCATAATGTGGTTATTATTTTTCACTGATAAGCAGTGAAGTCATAATTACATTCTTTACAATGTTTCATTGCATTAGTTATGAAATGCAGGAGTAATATCTGTAGTAATATCTGTAGACTCAATGGTAAGGCCCCGTCGAGACATTTTCATGGATGAAGCGGGATTCTGGGAAAAAATAGAAGTGTGTGTGTTTTATAAAACAATAAAATCTACGACCCAGGATTCTTGAAATTTATAGCCCTTAATTTTGATAGTTAACCGGTAACTAATGCTCAGTGATATTCAGCTGAATGTGACTTAAACTGAATTATGTCACATTAGGGTCAATCTACAAAGATAAATATTTTGCTAAAGCACACTGTAAGTTTCGGATAAAGGCACACAGGACGCGTCAGTGTGCTGAGCTCTTTACAGGCATTTATCAGGGACACAGTCACCACAGACCATAAAATTACACAAAATGAGATTAATGGATGGCAGATGGACTATAGGTCGTAAATACGAAAGGTCCATAAAGGCGGGGGTGAGATTCAATAATGACGATACACTTCGTTAAGACAATTAACAATTATGAATAACAAACAAAGCAACTAGACTGTGTTTGTAACATGAGAAGAGACCTAGGGGGCGCTGTAGAGGACATTTTAGAGATGGGCTGGTCAGCAGGCCTTCTTCAGCTCGTCAGGGAGTCCTGACGCATAGGAGGGGCAGCATCACCTGTGACGTAAACACAGGGGGTCCTCAGCTGGTAGTCATGGATACAAGTGAGTGAAAATCAACAGTCTGCTCTGTTGGTGAACTGGAATGTGGGCGACGAGGGCGAGGATCAGGGTTAACGCCAACTTAAGCTTAACCCTAACCCTAAGCTTAACCCTAACCGCACCCACCTGCATTTTCATTTAATTTACATTTCATTTTTTTTCAGGTAGGAACTCCCCAAGATTCCCAACCTCATTGCACATGAGATTTTCTGAGTTTTTCTGAACTGCTAAAACACTCCATTTTAAAAACTAAACTGTGAACTACCAAAACTCCTCCATCAAATCAATCCCACAGTTGGCAAAACTTCAAACACTGTTCATCTGCTTGGACACAGTTTGCAAATCTGAATCTCCCATTTAGCAAAGCTCTAATCACCTTCACATGTTCTGCTTCAGGGCATGTTTATGAGGGAAGCAGGGCAACATGTGCAACCAAATTTCAGCAGGTTCTCAGTGGCCTCTATAGTCAGGAACTCAGAAGAAAATGGGTAAAATGTATTTCTGCCTCTGAAAGTTACATGATGATTTCAGTCTCAGTAAGTCACCAATCTCTTGAAAGGGGACAGGGAAAAAATAATTTTCTGAATGGTACATATCTGTTATTGTACAGTAGAGAACATTTACAATACAGCTTGAATACTTCTAACAGAATGGTCTTTTTGTAGAATTGAAAGACGGCCACACGATCTCACAACAGGAGACACGTATAGTAACACAACTCGACTGTGTGAAATACAACAGTGGATTATTAAAGACAACATGCATTTTTGAGGCATAAACAGTGTAACTCTATCAAGAACTGTCTGTGTCCTGCAACGCAACCAGGTAAGGGTGAAAATAGGGTACCCTTTGTGCGAAAGTGAAAGAGTGAATGAGCAACAATATCAATATGTGCAAACAAGTAGACTTTTATAGTAAAGTCAGCGTTAGCATGTGTACTGTGCTGTGTGTGAAGCAGCACNTGTATACAGGCATAAAGACATCATACGGTGTCATTTACAGAGAACTAAGTGTGACCTATCTTCACTGTGAACAGAGAAATTTTGAACTTGACTCAATGGTCAGCCTCGTCGATACATTTTCATGGATGAAGCGGGATTCTGGGAAAAAATAGAAGAAAAGGTCACAAAATATCTGGCTCACATGCCATGATAGGAGTGTCTAGCCAGCCTGGTGGAAATGTGACCGTACGTGCTGCCGTCAGCGGCTATTGGGATGTTCACCGACATGTTGCCGTTGGGCCATAGAACACTAACCACTAAATATCCTAAATAATGATTATTTTCCTGTTATCCCAGTGTTTCGCATTTATTTATGAGGTGTGTAACAATTTCTGAGCAGTGTTTAGACCATTCCCTGTAGGTGTTGTGTGTTTTCTGACAGTAGTGCTTGATTTTGAGTAAAGCTAAAGTTTTGAGTCAACTGTTTGATTTTGCAAAACAAGTCCGAGGTTTCGTGAGTGTAGCTTGAATTTTAGGGTTTTGAAAAAGGAGGAGAGAAAAGAATTAAGCAATGTGTTTTAGCAGTTCGGAAAAAATCTGTAATGTGGAAAAAACATGAAAATGTTTAAATATAGATGAAAGGCTTGCAGATACAACTTCAGCCAATTATTTAGATCGTTCCGAGACTAAGGGGCAAGAAATGGTGAGAGTTTTGCTAATTCTGACTTAAAAGTTAGAACAGTAAAGAAAAAAAGGAAAGTGAGTGAGAATGACTGAGAGTGAGTGAGAGTGTGCGAGAGTGAGGTGTTTGAGAGTGAGCTGTGTGAGAATGTGTGAAAGTGAGCTGTGTGGGAGTGTGTCCTGCCTACCTGGGACACCTGTCAGCAGCCTGCCTGGATTGAGGCCCCGGCATAACCCCCCCCCCATCTGGCTGCTCTTCCGGGTACGGCCCTTAAACTTCCTCTGGCGACCCATGAAATCAAGGAGGAGGCTGGGTGTGGCGTTTCGGGGCTCAATTTCAGGCTCCGTGTGTGTCCCTCGTCCACCCCGCCACGCGGGAGGCATGAAGACCTCGCAGCCCCCACATGGATCCAGATGGTTCTGGAGAAGGGAGCCACCTCTTGTGCCAAAAAGGCCGTCTGCGATCTTCAAATGAGATGGGAAACACGGAGAGGGTGTCTCAGAGGGACAAAGAAGGAGGGGCAAAGAAGCACAGAGACCACGCCCACCGGAAAGGCAGAGGAGTCTGGGAAACCGAGTCCTGTATCTTTCAGATCAGATCCAGAACCTGCTCGGAAGGCTCTCTCATGGAAGCTGGGTTCGTTAAAGCTTTCGCAGCACCATAAACCCGTAACTGCGGAATCAGAGGATATGAAATATCCCAGGAACATTTTAATCGTCGCCAAAGGGAATCTGGTAGTTTTTATACATTCCAGCTCACTCTCCATGAGACACCCATGTACAACTGCTAATATGCTCTGATTTATAATACAGCTAAAAATATACGACACATTGAGCCGCATGTGACACTTTAAATAACATTTCATATTATAATTGTATAGTGAATGGTAGTGGTTAGAGGACAATGTATGCATTTATATATATAGCATATGAAAGGCTTACATATAAGAACATATCTTACAATACGGTCTAAAAATACTATGCTATAAAAATTGTGTATGAGTGATTTGTGACATTCCATTGTCCTCCATTATAATTCTGTAAAAAAAGACCTGTCTGAGCTATGTGAGCATTTTATATTGCGTTTTCACGTAGTCAAATACATACATTTCACATGAACTGTTCATGTCAATCAGTTGTTTAATTAATTGGTTCGACAATCTGTAGATGAATCAACATAAAAGTAAAACAAGGATGTTTACTTACATAAGAACAGCCTTATCTTATTTATTAATTTTTTGTTATACATGAGTTTTGTAGTTTCTAACGTAAACATTCAAAAAATGATAAGCAGATGCCTACGGTTTGTCCCATATGTAGTTTGAAACATCCCGAATCGACAAGCCTACCTGGTTCTCTGAGTTGAGGGGTGGGGGTCTCGATTTGACCAGACTGGCCACAGACAGCAGGAGGATGAGCAGCCACAACGTCCAGGGGGACATGGGACCAGAAGCAGGTGAAGATACCATCCTCAAAGGAGGGAGAGAGGAAGAATCAGCGGAACGGTGAGCCGTGCTCTGGGATGAGGGGTCACCGCGGCAGCCGTCACCGTGGTCTGGCCCAGCGAGACCCTGCTGGAGGTTATAAAGCGGGACCCCTGGTGGCAGAACTGCATTCCTGAGCGTTGGCCCTGGAGATTCACTCCCCAGTTCTGGGCAGCTAGCTGGTCACGTTCAGGAAACGGCACAGGATGCATGTGCAAGAATCCGTCAAAATACGTGGAAGCGTATAGCAAGGGCGGGAGGCAGGCCGCTCGAAACAGCAGGCCTCTGACTCCGACTTCCATGTTTGAAGATCAATGTTGAGGAGCGTGCGGATTAGGGACGGGGGGTCAGGGGCTGAAAGGGGCCCAGCAGCAGGCCCATTCACGCCAGGCATCGTTAACCTAATTAGCAGAGCCAGCACACACAGGCGGTATGAGTCATTGTGTATGTCCGCAGCCTGTTACGTCCTCCCACGTCGCGGTGGGGGCTCTTGTTGCATCAATCAAACTTTGTGGAGTAGAAACAAGCTACAGAACATATTTTACTCTCTGGGTCGTGAACATGCAGTACTTTCAGCAAAACTTTATGGGCTTGAGGGTGGGATTTGGTCAGCTGGCCACCAGGGGGCGCCAAAATGCAGGGTGAGGATGTAAAATGCAGAGGTGGGCACTCGAGTCACTGACTTATGAGTTGACATTGACTCAAATCACAGACCTGATGACTTGTGACTCAACTCGGCAAAACTGATAGAAAGACTTGGACCCGACTTGGACTCTATAACTTGAGAAGACCTGAGGTTATAGTCCTCATCTGAACACCATAACGTTAAAATTCTCTGCATTTTCAATTGGCTGAATGCAAGGTCTCCTGAGACAGTTTGCTGGAAAGATGCCTCCCTCCCTGCATATACACAGATGTGGAAACTCTGCTAGGACAACCGTGAGTGGACACTGTCTTTTCAAC